GAGCAGTGTAAACTGACAGTGTGTGACCGGCACCTTTTGGAAGAGTCCTCAGGTTAGCAAGTCACGGGGGTCCACACACCCAGGACCCTCCAGAGCTCCTCAGTCCTTCACTGGGGCTGCCTCTGGACATATCTGCTCTTTTCATGTAGATATGCACACAGGCACACACATACACACCCACAGACCAACTACCCCATCTCTACCTGTCTCCTCTTCCAGACTACACACACCCCTGGGTGTGGCCTTATAAGCAACAGACGCCCAGTACCCTATTACCTGCACACAGATTTGATTCAAGAAACACTGGGCATGGTTCAGTCACTGTGAAATATCCCTTTCTTATGTAAGCATGTCTGCAAAGTCATCCTCACACAAAAAAATTCAACTTGACCTGAGCTGGAATCTCAGGTCTGCCACCAAATAGCTGAGTGAATTGGACTGCTTACTAAACTTTGACCTCTCTGCACTTCAGGCCTCCCTCCTGTCAGGTAGGAAGCGTGTAGCTGGCCTTATGAGAACAATGTGGGGCACACAATAGGCATCCTGGAAACATTCTTGAATGAATGGACGCAGGAGGTCCTGAATGTGGCTGTGACTGTGACTGTGACGACCATGACCTTGTCCCTGGCCACGTGGGAGAAAGCTCAGAGCCCCTCAACCTCTATACGGTCTGCAAAGTGTACCGTGTTCCAGGCGGGCACTCAGGTATCTCACCTGATTAGACAACAAAGCTGTCATTTCTTCCCGGGAACTTAGTTGAGGGCCTGGCATTTACGGGGTGGTCCTCTCCAGGCCACTGACCTCGGGGTGGCCATGTGCTCTCTTAAACCCCTGGACTCTCAAGCTCCTCCCAACTTGGTCCTTCAGGCTGCCCAACACAGCTCATCTTCCACAGGGCTCGGCTTTCCCAAACAGAGATTTCTAAAGGTGGTATCTGCCTGCAAGTCTGTGGGCAGGGAAGCCTGGTTTTCTTCTGCAGTGTTACCCCAAACTTGGTGCCTTGCCCTCCTCCCCCAGGCGCCGTGGTGTGACATCCCATGCCTGTCCCGAGGGCACCTGGCGTTTCTGTGTCAGGGAATCCGGCACTGACAGCGGGGGAGGCCGCTCGCCACGTCTTCTCTTTTTTAAGAGGTCGTCCCCTGTTCTCAGAGTTTGGATCAGAGTGATCTTTCATTTTCAAGCTCCCTGTGTGTGCTGGAGACGTTCTCTTTATATGTTGTAACATGTACCGAAGAGAGATTAAGCTAAGCGAGGCATGCCATTCACGAAGGCTCACTGAAATTATGCCTGCTAATCTGTTAAATGGCAAGAACATTATGCAACACAAAAGGAATCTTAGTAATTCTAAAGCTTTTACCCAATGAAGAAAGTTTAAATTTACAGAAACACACACTAGAGATAAAGAAGTACAGAGAGGCTGGCTGAACCATACTCCTTGCCCTGGGGTGGGGAAGCAGAGTGATCCCATGGTAAGAGAGAAGGGGCAGAGGGCAGAGGGCAGAGGGCAGGGGCCAGGGCCTGGCCTGGGCCCTAACACGCGTGAAGCACTTCACTTATGAAAAGAGGCTTGGCTCCCTGGTCTGGCCTGAGAGGCCTAGTCACCCCCGCGGCGCCTTTCCTTCGTGGGTCCCTTCGGGAGATGGGTGACACTGGGCCGTGTCCCTCAAGGCATGCCTGGGGCCTGGCTTGTGTGGGCAGCCTGGTGGAGGCGCTGCACCATGCACTGCAGGCTGCAGGGATCAGCCTTGCTGTGTAAAGAGGAAATCTGGGGCTTGGAGAGGCTGTTTCACCTGAGGCTGTTTGGCTATCACACAGACTTGGGGGCTGGCTGGTGCCAAAGCCGCTGCGCCGTGCTGTCTCCCAAGCAATCTTTCACCCAGACCTGCCACCGCCTCAGGCCCTGCCTGGGTGCTATTCCTCAGGGAATCACTGGACCAGCTGGAGCATGCGGACCTGGGGTCCCTGAGCTGCATCCCCTGCCTGGCTGAGTGGAGTCCCAATCTCACTCCTGGCCAGTGATGAGCTGTGGAGAGTGATCAAGGACGTGGCCTGTTTTGATACGGGTGCTGCCTGGGAACCTGTGCCCACCAGAATTTCCTACCACTGGACCGCAGTCTCTCCTCTGGAAAATGTACTCTGTTCATGTTCAGCGTGCAATCCGATCTTTGCTACATGTGAAGTCCCTACACGTGCCTTGTCTGACTATGGGTGAGGATGGGGGCCTCCCCCCTAGGCGGGCAGGTTCACAGCAGAGCAAGATGGAGGACCCAGTGTTCTGGGGCCCCTCAAATGGGGACCAAGTGGCCACTCCAACCAAGTGGCCACTCCACGCACAGAGTGGTGCATGCGGCCTGCCTCCAGTTCAAAGCTGGAAAAGGGTGGGATGGAGGAAGGGCCCAGGTGAGATACGACAGTGGCCCGGGGAGAGGCTTCCCACTGGGCCGGGGAAGGACGCAAGGAGGAGGGTGCTTGGGAGCCAACTGAGGCTTGGACACGGAGGGAGGGGTGAGGGGGAGAACCGAGTGGCCGACTGGGCCGGAGAGCCACTTAAGAAGCAGCTTACAGGATGAGCCAGGGTGGGAAAGCCTAGGACAGTGATTGGGAAATGGCCTGTAGGCAAAGGAAATAAAACTGGGACTGGGGGCAGCGGTGACGGAGGGAGAGGAAGGCCAGGGAGACGGTGTGAAGACCAATGGGAGGCAAGGCGGCCAGTGCTCTGGGGGGATGTTCATGTGCTGGGAGAGGCATTGAGGATGCAGACACTGAAAGGGACCGTAGCCTAAGGTCAATGAGAAAGCCAGAGGCCTGGGTGAGGGCATAACCTCAGAGAGCACAGGGTGGTCAACAGTCAGAGGTTAAGATGGACACGGTTCAGACTGAGGCAGCAAATGGTCTGGGGACAGTCTGATCCTCTGGAAGGTCAGCTGCAGAGGTCAGAGAGCAAAAATTGACAAGATCAGAAAGAGAGATATTTCCTGGTGGAAAAGCGGGAAAAGCGAAGGCTCCCCTGCAGCCTCGTCTCCCTGCTGCCTGGCGCCCGCGGGACCCCAGTGCACAGCGGCATCATGTCGTGGTCTCGGCAATGGTGCTGAGCCCAACTCAGAGGATGGCTTTAATTCCATCTCTGCCACACGCATCTTGTTCCAGATTAAATCGCTTTCTGAAGATGAAGAGGAAAACTCATTCACTGAGAACGTTATTTACCCTGAAACAAATGCATTCAGCCTGGATTCTGAAAGGTGCTGGGGTTCCAGGGTTCCCCAGTAAGGGAAGTGTATGGTGTGTTTAGATGTTAAGAGATTCTAATAACGTTTCCCTGTTTAAACAGTAATGAGACAACTAGCCTGGTGGTTTAAGAGAACACCTCTAAAGCTGGTCTCAATCAATGGAGGTTACCAAGTGCGCAAGTCAACCCCTGCCAATCTTTTCTTCTCAACGCTGATCCTAAATGTAGGTGGCTTTATTTCTGAAAGGCTGCAGCTCCTCCTGGGAACCTTGTTGTTCAGTCACTAAGTTATGTGTGACTCTGTGACCCCATGGACTGCAGCACGCCAGGCTTCCCTGTCCTTCACCATCTCCTGGAGTTTGATCAAACTCATGTCCATTGAGTCGGTGATGCCATCCAACCATCTCATCTCCTCAATCTTTCCNCAGTGCTGGCCCACAGGCCTGCTGGTACTTAGCGAGGGATGGTTTTTACACTTTTAAGTGGTTGCGTTTAAAATGAGCAGATAAGGGACTTCTCTGGCAGTCCACTGGTAAGGTTTCATGCTTCCACTTCAAGGGGTGAGAGTTTGATCCCTAGTTGGGGAAACTAAGATCCCACATGCCTCTAGGTGCAGCCCCCAAAACGAAAGAACAGGTAAGTATGTACATAATACACTGATTTGGCCTCTTGGCTGGCCAGGCCTAGAACATTCAGTGTCCGGCTCTGTAAGGGGAGCCTGGACCCCCCACCTGTCCCTTCGTTCTGTCTCCTCTGGCCTCGCCAGCCCCCACTGCCTGTGTGCGCCTGTGACAAGGACGAGCGGCTGCTTCACATCCGGGTACTTGGGCCACGCGGACAGAGCCAGCAGACCAGCGTCCATGCCGGCCTCATCACTCTCTAGAGCCCAGGCGGGCCTCGGCCCCCAGCCTCACGCCTACCCCCCACCCCTGCCCAATGACTCCAGCTGAAAGGTGGCTGTGAACATCATATGAGATGTGGGACATGAATGTCTTCCTTTAAAAGCTCAGAAGACTTTGGGGATAAAAGCCTATTGTCACTGGAGATTATTTATGAACTGGTTTATCAGCCAAACTTCTCCTTTCTCGTTAACGCGGAAGCCTGACCTTCTCTCCCGGTCCACACAAATACGCAGCGCGTGGGGGCCTCGCTCAGCTGACCTGAGCCGTCCACCCCACTCTCCCTGATCCAGTTTCACCAGCAGGTCAGGCTGACCTCCCCGCTCCTCCCTGGCTGAGTCCATCTCCCTGGGGACAGCTTGCCGGCCCGCACCCTGCCGTTTGGAACATCTCTGTGACTCTACGTCCAGACATATGTGAAGGGAGACAAAGGATTGAGCTATATATTTTAGGAAACCCAGACTCTCTAGACATCTTATCCATGAAGCACTGAGCAACTTTGAGAGATGGGTGATTTTTATATGCGAAGTCACTCTGAAGCCGGGGAGCACAATTCAGGTTTAACTTAAGCAACACTGTGGTGACCTTAATATCCATGAATCCCGATCACTTGATGGAATGGCCTACGATGGACAAGCCTGCTGTGAGAAATTGGCAGCTTTTTGGCCAGAGGGGTGGGGCTGGCACAGAGCCCAAGCCCCTGAGCCCCGGGAGGCCCAGCTATGACCAAGAGAGCCCCCTTATCCAACACCAGCGCCTTTTGACAGGGCAGTCCAGCCCTAGTATCTGCAAATTCAGGGCAGGCGGTCAGCCCTCTAGGTCACCTTCTGGGCAGCTGAGAAGTAACCTCCCTTATTATGACAGCTTCCCCCAGTCACAGAGTATGCCAGCTGTTGGGGCAGAGAGCCCCACACCCGAGGGATCAGAGGACCCGCTTTGGAGAGTCACTCATAGGTGGCAGCAACAAAGACCTCCCTGTCCAGGAACGAAGAACTGCAGCCCGAGGGCAGGCTGTTAAAAAGGTAGATGCTGTTGGTGGAGGAGGCTTTGTGGCCCAGGGCTATGCTCAGAGCCACAGTGCACCTCCATTTCCCTGGAGGTCCGAAAAGACTCTGGGGGAGCCCCATCCCAAACAGCCAAGTAGACCTCACGTTAGCCTCAAGCAAGTAGGGGGCTGAGCTCAGGGAGAGGGCTGTGGCCCAACCTCCAGGAGCCCTTGGGCCACCACCTGGAATTCTGCTTCAGCTGCCAAGAGCCAGATGAGAGCCCAGAGCCCCAGGGGGGCAAGATCTGTGATGAATCTTGAGGGGTGGGGACACACCACGGAGCAACAGAATCAGACCAAACCTCACAGCTGTTGGACCCAGAGGGAAGGTCAACTCCCAAGTCTCTTTTCCACAGTCTTGCCCAAGGCAACATGCAAGAGTCAATACCTCAGACTGTTTTACCTTGTCTTATGCAGCAGTTCTCTGACCACCTTTTTTTAGTCACAATTTTGTAAATTAATCACACTTCTCCTTTGACACAGCTGAAGAATGGACAGTGATGTCTCAGCCTTAAGGAAATCCAATAACAGCAGTTAAGCCCCTCTGAGCAGGAGTGAGGTAAGTGGTGGTCACTCTCTCTGGAAGGAAGTGGTGGGCTTTGCTTGGCACACACTTTCTAAGGGAGTCTGCTCTGTGCCCTGCGTGTGCACAGCCAGGAACATTACCCTGCCTCTACAGCTGGAGTTCCACAAGGAGGATAAATACACAAATCATGGCAACGCAGTGTGAAAAAGGCAGAAACACGAGCACGTCCGAGACAAGAGTGAAGAGGACGTGGGCCTCAGAGCACACCTGGGTGTCACTGGAGCTTCACTGGCTAGGTCACCCCCTGCACGAAGCTCACTCAACTTCCCCCAGGGAGGACGGAGGGCTGACCCTGGGTCCCCAACATCCCCAACATGACCCTGGGTCCCCAACATCCAAGGCGACACCCTGTTTTTGGTCCGAGACCACCCCCCAGGTCCCACGACCAAGAGGCCCCTGTGTGCTGGACCATGCCTCACTGATGTTTCTATTCTTGGCACAGGGCCTGGCAAGTGAACACATTTAATACACGTGTTTATTACAGATTGTAAAGGTGGAGAGAGGGCATTTCCACTCCCCATGCTTCCTCCCCTCCCCCCGTCCCCGCAATCATCAAAGCTTAATAAACAAGGGCTTTTCAGTTACAAGACAAGGAACCCTAAAACTAAACACCATTTTGTTCAGAGGGAGAGGTTGGCTGGTGCTATTGGGAGTATCTGAGATGAATGCTAGGGGAGATCCTTCCAGCCTTAGTCTGGCAGGAGGGTGCGCTCAGCCATTTGTAAAAGACTCGGATCTGCCCTGTGAATTTCCAAGTAAAGTTCACAGGACGTGAAAGTAAGTCATGTTTAAATATACCTTTCCTTGAGTACTGGCGAACCCCTGCTGGTACTAGCCCATCGGCATTCCGGGCACTGTACAGACCCATTCCAATAAACGGTTTGCAAACGAACATCTGCAGGAGGAAGCCAGGTGCATGCAGGGCAACAGTGCACTTGCTGCTGTGGCTTCAACCAGCCCTCATCCTGGTGCTTTCTGGAGGGTTCTAAAGCCGGGCTGATTCGACTGGGGATTTTTCTAGGTTCAGTGTATATGCAGTAGATCTTGTTCCCCATTGAAGAAACTTGACAACTCTTTAGAACTGAAAATGTGGTCTTCCACCCAAGGTGGAAGAGGCAGAAGTGGGGTGCTCCGTGAGAACATTTGGAAGCGGTTTCATTGATGGGTGGCCTGTGAGACAGGCCGTAGAGTACGATTTCTATTTTGGTGCTAATGTCGGGAAGCGAGATGGAGACACATGTGTCCTGAGTCAGGGCAGCTGCTTTTCCAAACAGCTCAAAATAGAGACGCTCAAAAACACGCCACACGCACACGACGCCGACAAGACTGACAGGCCCTGGTTTGGGACAAAGGGTTTCATTTCCTTACCAAAACTAAAAACTTCAAAACCTAGATGGTTTTAAACCGGACTTGACTCAGTACATTCATCAGTAATCTTAAACCAGTAGCCTGACAGCTCACAGGGCCGCACAGACCCCGCAGGAAGGCTTAATCTTGGAAGTGATCGGGGCCGAGGTGGCCCTGCCGCGATGAACACATCACGCTCTGTCAGGGGGTCTTCTTGGGCGATTTGTCAAAGGTCTCAGCAGAGCAGAAATCACACTCAAACACTCTAACTGTGGGGGGTGGGGGGGTAATCCTGCCGACTGGATGAGGCCGACGTAAATCAAAGGAAAGCCAGCTCCTGAGTTGGTGTCTCTGCTGGAGAATTGAGATTTCAAAGTAATCTTCTAATGTTGCAGCGGGGAAAGGTCCTGGGTGGGTGAGGGGGGCACACAGCCCCCAATCTGAGCCCCACAATTTAAGACACAGGACTGAGCTGTGGAATTGACACCTGGGCTGCGTGTGTCCCCAGTGCCTGGAATCCCTGAGCTGGGGACAGAAGCCAAACCAGTGAGAACTGCTGGGTGGGTGCCGGCAGGGCCAGCAGACTTGGGTGGGGGAGGGAGGGGAGGAGCAGGCCTTAAGACCAGACGCTCTGACCCAGAGTGAGCCTCCCTGAGATCCTTGTCCTGGGAAGGAAGACGCCTGGCTCCCAAGCTGGGCTCTGAATTGCTCTCACTGGCCTCTTCCACTCGCTGGTTAAGGTTAGGGCTAGCAGCTGCCTTATCACACGTCTGTTCCCTCGCTTATAAAATGAGTAAGAAATAAGAGAGGTGTTTGGGCTTCCTGGTGGCTCAGACAGTAAAGAATCTGCCTACAAGGCAGGAGAACTGTGTTCAAGCCCTGGGTTGGGAAGATCCCCTGGAAGAGGGCATAGCAACCCACTCCAGTATTCTTGCCTGGGAAATCCCAAGGGCAGAGGAGCCTGGTAGGCTACAGTCCAAGGGGTTGCAAAGAGTCCAACACGACTTAGTGACCAACACTTCACTTCAGGTCAGCACAACCCAGGGCAGATGAGCACATCAGAGAAGTTTCTAGAGGAGGCTGCTTTGGACAGGCACATGAAGTGTGTGCATGATTTTTCTGGGTGGACTTCGGACGGCGAGGCCCACACAGGGTCACAGTAGGGGAGAAAGGGAAGACAGCGAGGAAGTGGAGCCGACAGGCGGGAGTCACAGTGAAGGCTTTGCATCTGGGGGTTGCCACTGAGCTTTCTCCCTTGCCATGTTTACGGTGGCACTGCTGCCTCCAGACCTGCTGGGGGGTCCTGGGATCCCCAGGGTGGGCTCCCCAGGCTTGGCCACACCCGGTGAGACAGAGACCGGCCAGAAAGAAGGGCTCATCCCAAGATTCCCAAGCAGCCGTGCCTGGCTGCCCAGGGGCGGGGGCCACCGAGGGTCAGCTGGGACCCGACTGGGAACAGTCTTCCTCCTGCATCCCTTGCCTGGTCCAGCCACTCTCACGTGCATGGCCTCCTTGGGAGCTCTCCTCCCTGAGAAGGTCAGACATCTCCACCAAAATGCAAAATAGGCAGATGGCCCTGCAGCTCTTGGATAAATACGAATAAGCACTGCCAAGCTGACTGCAAACTACCCACCAATCTGCTAAGTCCCCGTAAACACAAATCGCTCTGTGTTCACCAGGATGCCGGCCTGCCTGTGGGACCAGGGCCAGACCCATGTGCTTTTCAAATATCGACCATAGTTCTGTACATGTAAATCGCACTTCTTACAGCTACTGTCTAAGATCTTCTATAAGAGTCTGCGGAGTTGTTTTTTTCTTTCTTTCTTTCCTCTTTTTTTTTTTTTTTTTTGCACTTTTGAATCTTAAAAAGCCCTGGGGAGAGAGATCCTTAAGTAGACATGGTCAGTATGGAGCCTAGGCCTCCTTGGGGCACTCAGAGGGTCCCAGGCCCGAAGACTGGAGGGGTGACATACTTGTGCATTTTTTTATCATTCTCTCTGAAATTGGAACTTTTATTTTCTAAAAACATATAACTGGTTAAACAAACCCTCCTCCTGAAATGATACAAGAAAAGACCAAAGATCAAAGTGGGGGCAGCCCACGTCTGATGACCCTCTTCCAAATCAAGAACCACGGTCAAATTTCTGCTCTTTTGTATCTGAGCTTCCGTCCCTGAAGTAAGAAGGCCTAAATCGCTGTCACTGTGGGGGCCGCATACTTACTTCATTTACCAACATGGACAGGCCCTTTACTGGGCACTGGGCAGGGGCGGGACACTGCCTGGCCTTCGGGGACCCTGAAGCTAGGAGCAGCCTCGGAGGCGCGGTGACAGCTGAGGCCCAGCTCAAGGGCTGGTCACCTCCCTTCTTCAGACCTGAGCTTCCCAAATCAAAAAAACAAATAGGCTGGAGTCTAAGTTAGTGATTTTCAAACTTTTTTGTATCTTCAGTTGTAGAAGATTGTTTTCAAACAAAACTTCATAGGGATGCACAAAATCATAGAACAGAGGAACTCAGAGAGGCTCTGGTAGGAGACAAGAGGGGTGGGTTCCAGGCCCCCTCCCCACTCGCCCTTGAGGGTCAAGGAACTTAGTGTGAACCCCCAGGCTCTTGTCCGCCCTGAGTGACTGTGGCCATGCTTTCCGGGGACACAGATCACACTGTGGTCCTGGCAATGACCCTGGCCATGTGGCACACATGCCTGGACTCTCTTGGGAACAACATTTTAGCTGGCACTTCAGTGTTCTACTCACAGTGCTGGTGGGGAGGCCAGGGTTTCAGCCTTTTTCTTATTTTTTAATGATAATCTTTTATTTATTTACCTTAATTTTTGACTGTGCTGGGTCTCTGTTGCTATGCAGGCTTTTCTCTAGTTGTGGCAAGTGGGGGTTGCTCTAGAGTTGCGATGCCAGGCTTCTCACTGCGGTGGCTTCTCGTTGCAGAGCACAGGCTCTAGGATGCGTGGGATTCAGTAGTTTTGGATCCCGAGCTCTAGAGAAGAGACTCAGTAGCTGTGGTGCACGGGCTTAGCTGCTCTGAGGCATGTGGAATCTTCCAGGATCAGGGATTGAGCCCTTGTCTCCTGCATTGGCAGGCAGATTTCTTACCACTGAGCCACCAGAGAAGCCCTGCCTTTTTCTTTTTAGTGATGGAGGTGCTGGGTCTTAGGAGACCTCCCCCAACCCCACCCGGGGTGGGGTGGGAAAGTGCTTCCCCTACGACCCCAGGGTTGGGGCTGGGACAGTATGCTGTGCCACCCGTGTCTCCTAGCATTAGTTCACATCCAGTGAGGGTGTAAAAAGCGCTGACTGAGCTCAGTCACAATGAAGAACTACATACTGAGAGGGAGAGGGAATTTTGGAATTCTCCTGTGCCCTTTATCCTGTGACTGCAACTGGTCACCCCAACCACCTGGAGTCCCACCAGGAATGTGAGCCGAATCATCTGGGGCAAAGGCTAAGAGCTGGGGATGATGGTAGCAGAGAGGCACCCAGGGGGTTCCCCCAGATCACACTCGGGGAAATCCCATTTCCTGTTCTTCACATGCAGCAGCTCCTGCACTTTTCTGGTCTTGTTTCAAGTTCAACTTCAAGTTCATCTTCTCCATTTACCCCCTCGACCCTTATTTGCATGCAGATGCTATTCTAACTCAAACCTGTTCACTTCAGCATTTATCTCCAGCAGATGCTCCCAGAAATGCACCCAAAAGGGAAGAACAAGGGGCCTAGGAAGCTTTCTCTCCAACTCCAGGGCCAGGGCTGACGAAGCCTCAGGGTCCCTTGCCTGTTGGAGGGGACAGGGCAACACGCGCTCGGACGAACTGTGGGGTGGATGAGCAGGGACGCACGCAGACTGGACCTTATATAACTACCAGGCGGACTGCTCTTCCTGGCAGGGCCAAGGGTGTAGGAACCCACAGTGTGGAGAGATGCCTTCCGCCTCCCAGCCTCTCCCTTGCCACGTCTTGTCTCCACTGTGGTGAGGCTGTCATTTCACTGAGAGTCACTCCCCGGAGTGTAAGACCCTCTGTACAAATGACAGCCACAGAAAGTGTGTGCACACAGACATCACGTTCCCAGTGTCTTCTGAAGGCCGTGGTGTTTAAGACTTTGAAGGCACTCTGGAGCTGATGGGCGCAGCACTGAGGTTTGAAGGAAGCTGAGGCTGGCATGGTGATTTGCTGGCATAATGGCACCATTCTGGCTACTAGTGTCACCGTTACCACTGTCCAGGACTGCAGGCACAGTCCT